TCATCTAAGCAAACAAAATATGCAGTTCTTAGTAGATTTGTATGTCATTAACACAGTCTATAGACATCACAGTCTCGCAAATGAGGTTGACGTCTTCTTGTATTACATAGTAAAAGGATAATGACGATATTCTAATCGAAACGTATGCTTTGCGGCAGAAATAGACAAATAGGCATTAAATCCGCGGCGCCCGGCAAAAACGGTACTATTGATTCTCGTATTAAAATGTTCGTCAAATTCGCCTACTGGTAGAGGGGGAAGAGGTCAACCGAAGAAGACATGGATGGAGTGTGTGAATGACGATATGAGAGAGAGGGGAGTGAGTGTTGAGGTGACGGCTGATAGAAGAGAATGGAAGAGAAAAATTACCTGTGCCGACCCCAGAGCTGTGCTACAGTAATTAATAAGACAAGTTCTCACAGCCCACCTGGTGTTAAGTGGTTATTAGAGCCCGTAGAAATCTACAACGTAAATGCGCCAGCCACCTTGAGATATAAGCTCTAAGGTCTCAAGTATAGTTACAACGGCTGCCCTTACCCTTCAAACCGAAACGCATTACTGCTTCACGGCAAAAACAGGCAGGTCCGTGCGGACTCTCACAAGAGGTCCTACCACCAGTAAAGTAAGAACTTTGTTATACGCTACCTCTTTTAGGTACGCAGTGCAAAGCGTTTTACGTCAGTACAAAGCAACATCCATTGCAGCAGAATATTAAAATCATCTATATATTAATACGTGAACCAAAAACTTTGTATCCCTTTTTACGAAAATTGCGCGGACGGAGGAGTATGAAATTTTCCACACTTATAGAGAATATAGAGAAGAATTGCACAATACTAATATTTTATTAAAATAATGCATAAAGGATACAATACATTAATTTAATCAATAAAGAAAACGTTACACACACTGCATACCATGTATTTGACGCACACACGCATGCATACTATTTATTGTCAAACTTTTGTTCTTGACGTCTGTTGTCAAATTGAGAATAGATTAAATATTGTTTGTCTTTGTTAATATTTTTTATAGTGTAGTCTTGGCGAAATTTGTGATTATAGAAGTATAAAATACAATCATAATAGTGCACAAACTTACAATTCCAATTAATTATAGTCGACTACTGCGGGACCACTAGTTCTTATTAATAAAAATCATCTGTCATTGAATAAATTCGGCGTACACGAGAAACTTGTTTTCTATTTGTCTATGATTCATCTAACCTTGAAATAAGTAGGCAAAATGAAGAGTGACGGTGGAGAAATTTCGCAAGCCGATAAAGATTTGTTTATCATATCGATAAAATAATGTGGGTACTTTTAAAATGCGTTTTTTGTTTGTTTTCTCCGAATCTGAGTAGGCCATTACCGCGTAGATTACATGGAACTAGGTAATCAGAGAGATATTAATTTTGCATGCCTCCGGTCAAAACCACTGATAGGCGACCATGACTTATATTCTGCGACCGACTACACAGATAACAGTGTCTCCTGATTTGTATACTTTTTAATTCCTTTTTTTTTCTTTCCCTACCTATGCTGATAGCCTTGAGAGGCTATTTCAGATTCGCCCTAAGATGTAGGTGAGCTCACGGGGCTCAAGCTGGAGTGTTACTAACACTGGCCCTAGCAAGAGCGGTGCTTCGCAGAATCTACCGCCGGATCGGAAACGCGACCCACTGAGAAGATCTGCTGAGAAACTCAGTGGGCTGTGTTTGTGGGCTAATTGGGTCGTCGAGCCCTTCTTCGCAAGCGACGGGTTCGACGAGGACGGTGACCAGTGCTTGTGGTACCTAAAAGCACCGTTAATGGATCAGGAGGATCCGTAATGATGTGTTTTGGGCAACGTCGACTGTTTACCGTTCGATCTACAGGATCGGGTATGTAATTTCCGGCAGTCCCTAGAAGAAGGTTCTCATGTCGTGCCGCCTTCTCAAAGCGGCGCAATGATGCCGACTGTAGATACTGACTGATTCATTGCTTAGGCGGTGTTAAGTGATTACCAGAGCCCAATATACGTTTAAAACGTAAATGCCGCCAACTAACTACCTTGAGATATAGTTCTTAGGTCTCCGTTTTTACGGCTGCCCCACTCTTCAGACCGAAACGCATTTTCACGGCAGAAATAGGCAGGGTGGTGGTACCTACCCGTGTGGACCCACAAGACGTCCTACCACCAGTAAAAACATTACTGACACTTCATTACTTTGTAAAACTGTATGTTAATTCAATTGTGGTTAATACATATTTAACAAATTAGAAGATACGGGTGTGCTTACTGTCAAATATTTACCAAGCGATACTGGTGGTAGAACACTTTGTTAGCGCACTGTTCTTATAACACAGAACTATTGCTTCGTGTCAAAAATAGTCTTCGACAAAACATCGTGTCAATAAAGTAAATAAACGGTAGGCAGCGGCTTGGCTCTGCCCCTGGCATCGCTGAAGTCCATGGGCGAGGGTAACCATTCACCATCAGGTGGGCCGTATGCCCGTCTGCCTACAAGGGTAACAAAAAAAAAACACGATACGCATTACCTTTGATATTCTACTCATTCACTCGAAGATCGGCGTGGTGGCATCGCAAAAACAATAACAAATAATTATTATTAGCATTACGCTAATTGCGCAATGCAATGAGATCAATGCACCTTATATAGGTCCGATTACAATTCGTTATGATTAAATAAAATAAACATGCTCAGCTTGTCGAGATAATTTTGTTTACAGATACTCACAATATGACGGCTTGCCCGAGAATTCTAGTTGACAATTTAGTTCGACCACTTAGAACGAATACCTTTTTTTTTTATTGCCCTTGTAGGCAGACGAGCATACGGCCCACCTGATGGTGAGTGGTTACCGTCGCCCATGGACTTCAGCAATGCCAGGGGCAGAGCCAAGCCGCTGCCTACCGTTAGACCTACCCAACCTGAGTATACAAATTCGAATGAGATGGATTTTGGGAACAGAAACGGGCAGGCGTATCTTGAGACATACATCCAAATTCCCAGTTTTGAATTAATTATTTAGCGAGAATACAAACATCGCTTTTTTTTTTATTGCTTAGATGGGTAGACGAGCTCACAGCCCACCTGGTGTTAAGTGGTTACTGGAGCCCATAGACATCTACAACGTAAATGCGCCACCCACCTTGAGATATAAGTTCTAAGGTCTCAGTATAGTTACAACGGCTACCTCACCCCTCAAACCGAAACGCATTACTGCTTCACGCAGAAATAGGCGGGGTGGTGGTGCCTACCGGTGCGGACTCACAAGAGGTGCTACCACCAGTAATTATCAAAAAGATAAGACGTTCGGTGCATTCGTAAGTAGCGACGCAACGGTGTACGAATCCCGCAGGCGACTAGGTACCAATTTTTCTAATGAAATACGTACTTAACGAATGTTCCCGATTGACTTCCACAGTGAATAACATCGTGTAATAAAAATCACACCTGCAAAATTATAATTTGCGTAATTACTGGTGGTAGGACCTCTTGTGAGTCTGCGCGGGTAGGTACCACCACCCTGTCTATTTCTGCCTTGAAGCAGTAATGCGTTTCGGCTTGAAGGGTGGGGCAGCCGTTGTAACTATACTGAGACCTTAGAACTAATATCTCAAGGTGGGTGGCGCATTTACGTTGTAGACGTCTATGGGCTCCAGTAACCACTTAACACCAGGTGGGCTGTGAGCAAAAAAAATCTTTAATATCTTTAAATCTTTAAAAATAGCAACAAAAAAAACGTGTGGCACTCGGGAACTGCCGCGGTAAAGCTATTGCATAGCATTTTTTATCAACTTATGCAATTATAATTAGACAATGATAATTTAATATTAAAACAATAATAAAACAAGACCACGCTATATTAAACATTAATAAAAGCAAAACATTAACTGTCCCCTTCACACTCATAAGCTAGACCGCGCGAGAGAGAGANAGTACATTTGTTTCACTCGCACATGGCGCAGCTCGTCGCCGCCAGATGTCACGCACCTCTCACCGCGCCTCGCAACGCACCGCAAAACGCACCGCCAGTAGCTGTGGCATACTTCATAGGTTGTCTACCATTTGTTTTCGCCGCTCCCGCTTGCCGCGCCTCACGACGCACCGCAATTCGCACCGCTCTCGGCTGTGGCCAAGGGGTAAAGGATAAGACGTCCGGTGCATTCGTGTTGAGCGATGCACCGGTGTTCGAATCTTAGGCGGGTACCAATTTTTTTATGAAATACGTAGTCAACAAATTTTCACGATTGATTTCCACGGTGAATAACATCGTGTAATAAAAATGAAACCTGCAAAATTATAATTTGCCTAATTACTGGTGGTAGGACCTCTTGTAAGTCCGCGCGGGTGGGTACCACCACCCTGCCTATTTTTGCCGTGAAGCAGTAATGCATTTCGGTTTGAAGGGTGGGGCAGCCGTTGTAACTATACGTGAGACCTTAGAACTTATATCTCAAGGTGGGTGGCGCATTTACGTTGTGGATGTCTATGGGCTCAAGTAACCACTTAACACCAGGTGGGCTGTGAGCTCGTCCACCCATCTAAGCAATAAAAAAATTAAAAAAATAAAAATTACTGAAGATCGTTTGTGAACTGATAACCGGAATCTTGTGCCACACCACTAATGCCATCAGGGTACCGCCCTCTTCTGACTTCCCTCGAACCCTGATATCTCAAGAAAATATTCCTTTGAACCAGAACAATACATGACAGCTTATTAATGAGCAGAGATTAAAAAACATGCTAACGAAAAAAAAAAAAAACAATAAAACGAATCTAATAAATAAGCCCACCTCGAGCTTACGGTTCCGAAAGCTAACCAACACGCAGCGAAGTTGAGTGAGTGACTCCGAAAAAAAAGCTCTCATACAGAACCTAGAAACCGGTTCGCGGAACCAACTTCGCGTTACAGCCTTACATCCACGAAGGTCAGAGACAAACTCAGTCACAAACCGAACCGCACGGTCGACGGACGTGCCCTCGGAAAGAATAATCTAAAAAAGAAAGAAACTTTAAACGTCCCCTCGCAACAAATTCAAAACTATCTTTTTACGATACGTCAATGTAAAAATATATCTTTTGTGCGATTTTTTTTTGTTATTTGTTACGGCCAGTGCTATTTATTGTGTAGTTTATTTATATTATAGACTGTTAATGCCGTGTTTAGTGTTCGAAGTAAATACGAAAAGATCTTCATTACTACATTCGGTAAGTTTTACCCGGTTTTTGTCTGTTTGTTTTGTGTCAGGTTTGTGTGTTTGCCGATCGGATATCGATGCATCGATGCGGGTTTTGTTCTGGCTATAGAGTGACGGGAATCGTGTCCGATTCAACTCTAGTGATATCAAGATTGTTTTTTTTCTTACTTTCATTGTTGGACCTGTGAATCGACTCCGTAAAAAGTAGTTGCATTTTCACATTTTTTTATAAATGTCAATGCTGTTTGTGCTTACTATTCATTTGAATTAAATTAAATTCTTTTAAACGTTATGATTTCATTGAATTTAAATATTGTTGGCGTTCTCTTTGAGCTGTATACAATTAATGTCTGTTTTACGGGATTTAAACTAGTCTGTGTTTCTTTGACTGACTCGATGGCTCAGTGCTTAGGGTTCGTGATCGCACAGCCGCGGTTTCGATTCCCAATCGGAGCAAGCATTCGTATAGACAATAGGATTGTTTGCACCACATCCGGGTGTTTAATATCTATATACTATTTATGTGTGTACCAATTTTCGGCTCCTGCAGTAACGAGAATCATAGTTCGACTCAGATGTGTGTGGGTTTTGTCGTATACTATTCATTATCAGTGTGCTTAGTCCGAGCTTATTAACTTTCTCGATAGAGTAAAAGTAAACTCTAATTTGTATTTGGAGTTGGAACGTTTGCCTACGTTTGCCGCTAGAGGCGCTGTTCCAACTGCATACAAACTTGAGTTAACTTTTACGCTGTCGAGAACGTTAATAAACTCGCACTGAGCACACCGGCTCGGAAACTGTGACACAAAAAGAGAGCTCGTCGATAAAAGCAACGCGTTGAGCGAAACAAGGACGAATCAACAGGCCACTTTCGCACGTATTATTAGTATTGTAACAGTAGTTTTATTGCTATCAAAGGTAGGTTTACTGGTGGTAGGACCTCTTGTGAGTCCACGCGGTACCACCACCCTGCCTATTCCTGCCGTGAAGCAGTCATGCGTTTCGGTTTGAGGGGTGGGGCAGCCGTTGTAACTATACTGAGACCTTAGAACTTATATCTCAAAGGCGCATTTACGAGGTAGATCTCTATGGGCTCCAGTAACTACTTAACACCAAGCTATGAGCTAGTCCACCAATCTAAGCAATAAAAAAAAAGATGTAGTATGCGAGTGAATCGAGTGGAGCTTACAAGAAAGCTTCGTTATAAAGAACGGCTTATTTTAAAGTCAAAATCAAACACGTAAAGTGAATTGCACGTAAATGCCAACTATAACTGCCTTTTAGCAGTTTATTGACATTAGCGGCCTAGGTGACAGTTGCTGTGAAGGCCAAGTGAGTCGATCGCTCGTCTTCTCAACACGTTGTCCAATGAAATTGATGAAATAAGAGTCAAGGGATTCGCTGTGAGTATTTTGTACTGGTGGTAGGGCGTCTTGTGAGCCCGCACGGGTAGGTACCACAGGCGTGCCTGTTTCAGCCGTGAAGCAATAACGCGTTTCGGCTTGTAAGGCAGGGGCAGTCGTTGTACTAAAAAAGATGTGTGGTGTCGCGGGACACCGGATAGGAACGAAGTTCCTTATTATAAAAATATGATTTTAAGTTCTATTCGAGGTATAAAGAAAATAATTATTCGGGTATACATATTTTTTATTATGATAAATATAAAAATAAAACTACTTTACAAAGTTATCAACTTTATTTTATTCACAATGATTTATAGAAAATATAATATACAAAGAAACAGCTATTTATATGAATAATAATAATAACCGTTATCACGTAGACTATACATCAGACACTGTATAGCCATAGACCATACATAAATAATAAAAATCTTACGTTACGGACGTTTTTTCCCGATTAGGGTACCGCTCCGCATCGTGCCATAAGGAACTTTGTTCCAAAAAACGGTAATCTTTGAATATTACTCGATCATGTGCTAATTTAATGTCAATAAGCCAGAAAGAACGGACTATGATATACGTATGGTAACGTACAATTATGAAAACGCAATGGAGAGCACATATTTATTAGTTGCAATGAACTTAGCTTTTCGTTAATATAATTGCTTGAAGTACAGCGCGTAATGTAGTATGCTCAACTAGATTAGCTAGAGTAATTAATAAGACAAGTTCTTTTTTTTATTTATTGCTTAGATGGGTGGACGAGCTCACAGTCCACCTGGTGTTGAGCGGTTACTGGAGCTCATAGACATCTACAACGTAAATGCGCCAGCCACCTTGAGATATAAGTTCTAAGGTCCCAAGTATAGTTACAACGGCTGCCCTACCCTTGAAACCAAAACGGGTTACTGCTTCACGGCAAAAATAGGCAGGGTGGTGGTACCTACCCGTGCGGACTCTCACAAGAGGTCCTACCACCAGTAAAGTAAGAACTTTGTTACACGCGACTTCTTTTCGGTACGCAGTCCAAAGCGTTTTACGTCAGTACAAAGCAACATCCATTGCAGCAGTATACCTATATATTAATACGTGAAGCAAAAACTTTGTATCCCTTTTTACGAAAATTGCGCGGACGGAGGAGTATGACATTTTCCACACTTATAGAGAATATAGAGAAGAATGGCACAATGCTAATTTTTTTTTTAAATAATGCATAAAAGATTCATTAAATCAATAAAGAAAACGTTACACACACTACATACCATGTATTTGACGCACACAAGCATGCATACTATTTATTGTCAAACTTTTGTTCTTGACGTCTGTTGTCAAATTGAGAATAGATTAAATATTGTTTGTCTTTGTTAATATTTTTTATAGTGTAGTCTTGGCGAAATTTGTGATTATAGAAGTATAAAATACAATCATAATAGTGTACAAACTTACAATTCCAATTAATTATAGTCGACTACTGCGGGACCACTAGTTCTTATTAATAAAAATCATCTGTCATTGAAAATATTCGGCGTCAACGAGAAACTTGTTTTCTATTTGTCTATGATTCATCTAACCTTGAAATAAGTAGGCAAAATGAAGAGTGACGGTGGAGAAATTCCGCAAGCCGATAAAGATTTGTTTATCATATCGATAAAATTATTTGGGTACTTTTAAAATGCGTTTTTTTTTTGTTTTCTCCGAATCTGAGTAGGCCATTACCGCGTAGATTACATAGAACTAGGTAATCAGAGAGATATTAATTTTGCATGCCTCCGGTCAAAACCACTGATAGGCGACCATGACTTATATTCTGCGACCGACTACACAGATAACAGTGTCTCCTGATTTGTATACTTTTTAATTCCTTTTTTTTTCTTTACCTACCTATGCTGATAGCCTTGAGAGGCTATTTCAGCTTCGCCCTAAGATGTAGGTGAGCTCACGGGGCTCAACTACTAACACTGGCCCTAGCAAGAGCGGTGCTTCGCAGAATCTACTGCCGGATCGGAAACGCGACCCACTGAGAAGATCCGGTGAGAAACTCAGTGGGCTGTGTTTGTGGGCTAATTGGGTCGTCGAGCCCTTCGTCGCAAGCGACGGGTTCGACGAGGACGGTGACCGGTGCTTGTGGTACCTAAAAGCACCGTTAATGGATCAGGAGGATCCGTAATGACGTGTTTTGGGCAACGTCGACTGTTTACCATTCGATCTACAGGATCGGGTATGTAATTTCCGGCGGTCCCGGCAAGAAGGTTCTCATGTCGTGCCGCCTTCTCAAAGTGGCGCAATGATGCCTACTGTAGATACTGACTGATTAATTGCTTAGGCGGTGTTAAGTGATTACCAGAGCCCAATATTCGTTTAAAACGTAAATGCCGCCAACTAACTACCTTGAGATATAGTTCTTAGGTCTTAGTTTTTACAGTACAACGGCTGCCCCCAATCTTCAAACCGACATGCCTGTCTATTTCTGCTTCACAGCAGAAATAGACAGGGTGGTGGTACCTACCCGTGTGGACCCACAAGACGTCCTAACACCAGTAAAAACATTACTGACACTTCATTACTTTGTAAAGCTGTACGTTAATTCCATTGTGGTTATTATATTTAACAAATTAGAAGATACGGTGTGTGCTTACTGTCAAATATTTACCAAGCGATACTGGTGGTAGAACATTTTGTTAGCACACTGGTCTTATAGCATAGAACTATTGCTTCGTGTCAAAAATAGTCTTCGAACAAAACTACGGTGCCAATAAAGCAAATAAACGGTAGGCAGCGGCTTGGCTCTGCCCCTGGCATCACTGAAGTCCATGGGCGACGGTAACCATTCACCATCAGGTAGGCTGTATGCCCGTCTGCCTACAAGGTAACAAAAAAAAACACGATACGCATTACCTTTGATATTCTACTCATTCACTCGAAGATCGGCGTGGTGGCATCGCAAAAACAATAACAGATAATTATTATTAGCATTACGCTAATTGCGCAATGCAATGAGATCAATGCACCTTATATAGGTCCGATTACAATTCGTTATGATTAAATAAAATAAACATGCTCAGCTTGTCGAGATAATTTTGTTTACAGATACTCACGTTGAGACGGCTTGCCCGAGAATTCTAGTTGAAAATTTAGTTTGACTACTTGGAACGAATACCCTGGGTATACGAATTCGAATGAGATGGGTTTTGGGAACAGAAACGGGCAGTCGTATCTTGAGACATAGGTACAACCAAATTCTCAGTTTTGAATTAATACAGTTTTGAATGAATAGAATAAGGTTTTGAATTAATAGAATAAGGTAGAACCTCTTGTGAGTTCGCGCGGGTAGGTACCACCACCCTGTCTATTTCTGCCGTGAAGCAGTAATGCGTTTCGGTTTGAAGGGTGAGGCAGCTGTTGTAACTATACTGAGACCTTAGAACGAATATCTCAAGGTGGGTGGCGCATTTACATTGTAGATGTCTATGGCCTTCAGTAACCACTTAACACCAGATGGGCTGTGAGCTCGTCCATCCATTTAAGCAATAAAAAAAATATTTAAAAAAGAATGTTTGCCTGAAGCGGGAATCGAACCCAAGACCCTCAGCGCTCAGTCAGGGCCGCT